GGTTTAGGGTTTGGGATTTAGGGAGCTTGCAGCACTTGGGCGCTGAAAGGGGCTTTGTGGGGAATTGTCCTGAGGGTTTTTCAGAAGAGTTCTAGAAGGGTAAAAAAAACACGTTAGGGTTCCATATGGGTGCAAAGATTTTTTCATGGATTGAGCGGTTATGAAAGCTCTGTGAAAGCTCTTTTTGGGAAAAGGCCAGAAGAGCTCCAGAAGCCTTTTTTGCAAGCTTCAGTGGGTGCACTTGCAAGGGTGCTGCCAGGGTTTTGCACAAAAAAGTAAACACCTCTTCTAATTATTAAGGGCCCTATATTAAAACCCTTATAGCAACCCTTCTAGAACTTCACACCTAGTCTAATTATTAAGGCCCCCAAGGCCCTATGCTAAACCCGTATAGCAACCCTTTTAGAACCCTTTCGGGGAACCCCCGAGGGAAGACATCTCAGTTTGCACCATTCGGAGGACCAGAGAGCCCCCCACCCCTTCAAGAGCTTTTACGCATCTTTGTCCTGACGGGAAACGGTTTAAGGCTCAGGGTTTAGGGTTTAGGGTTCAGGGCTTAGGGTTTAGGGTTTAGGGGGAACCATGGCAAAACCTTCAACGAAGCGATGCTTCGTTGTATCCGTCCTTTCCACTTGCCAGTGTGAAGAGCTTTGGCCCAACAGAGGGTCTCCCAACATTAGGGGGTCCCTACACCCTGGACTCCTGGACCCTACGATTTAGGATCAATTTGAGGCAATCTCTGGTCAACTCCCACAAACAAAAACACACCTGAAATGGAGCCCGGGCGTCTCCCCTTGCTGACATAGAGATCCTCCACTCCATCGATATAGTTCACCTGACGAAGCATTGCGACGGCTTGCATAATATGGGGAGCTTGCCTTGGCTATTCTTCTCAAAAGGTACTCACCGTAATATTCAAAACAATCCTTAATCAGTTAATGAACCCTCAACCCTAGACCGCATCTTGAAGGATCATGGGACTTAGTAGGTAGGGTTATAACGAAGGTAACTATACTTATAACACCAATTAGGGGACTTGTAACCATACTTACTAAGTCCCATGNNCCCATGATCCTCCAAGTAACCCTAAAGCCTAAACCTGAAGGAGAGCAGTGCCTCCTTGAGCTGCCACAGGCCATCCTGGGCAAACGCCTCGAGGTAGTTCGGTGGCACGTCGTCTGTGTGCCTGGGCTCTTAAAGCAGGGTATCTACTTATATTATGTTGAACTCCTTTGCTCCAGGTACCTACTTGAGGGTCCAAGGTCCAGGGCTTAGACCTGAAGGTATCTACTGTCCACAAGTTACTAACAAACTAGCCATTATGCGTATCATATCTCCACAGACGGAATAAGTAGTTCAAATCACATGACTTGACTTTGCCCAGCTGCAGCATCACCCGCTCGATGTCGGGAGAGAGCTCACGCAGGCGCACGCCAAGAACTACGGCACCTTGGTGTTTAGTGTGAAGACTTAGAGGATCGCGGGACGTAGTTAGCAGGCAGTGTTTAAGCTTGCGAGTACTGCGACCTGTCTTCACAGTCCCCTGACCCTCCTAACCATCCACTGGCCACCGGGTTGGCGTTTAGTAGGAAGTTTAGGGCCTAGGGGCTTTAGGATGTAAAAAGCAAAGGATAGAGAGAGACCATTTTTGATGCCGCTCAGTCGGACATCAGATGCTCTCTCAACCAATGGGACATACCAGTCTCTCCTGGACATCGTAATGATAGGGTATGTGTGTACATACATATATTTATATAGTGTATGTCGATGCATGTAAAATATATGCCGTCCTGTTCAAATCTATTGTTATATGCGAATGTGTGCATCAATATCCAAAAGCTACTGTATGCCGCTCATATCATGCATTGCCATATACGCCTGCATATATATATATATATA